GCTGTGTGAAATGCAAAGGACCTACCTAGTCCAGCCTGTTCCACTCCATGAATAATTCCAAATGTAAAGTCTCAAAAGGAGGGATTAGTAGGAGCACTGCATCTGAGATAGCAGACAAATTGATATCCAAAGAGAATAATTTCAAAGGAAGAGCAATAATTTAAAGATTTTTCCTTTTGCAAAATGCTTTTCCTTAGAAGTAAAGGGATTGGAATGGAGCAGCTGCTTTTGAGGAGCCAGTTGTAATGTTCAATTATGCCTCAAGGGAAGGATCAGAAGAATTTCTTGTAAATATTGCTTATTTAACATAATTTTACCCTGCCAGTTTCTAAGGAACTTATTAAACTAATATATAAGTGCTGCACAGGGATTATGGAAAATAATGGCATTTGCCTAGAAGGGACAGTAAGTTATCTGTTCCAGCCCAGTTTTATTGCGGCTGCTTCCACCTCTGAGCTGTAGGCTGTGTTTTGTTCTACTTTGAGCAAGATAAGAAACAGTGTTTCTCGAAGAACTAGAAGAAGGTAACAGTTGCAGGGCTCTGCCTAGTGCTTCAGAATTTGGGGCTTGCTGATTAGAACAGTGGTGTGTGTTTTTTTTCAAACTCTCAAATTTATAGGTAGGACCCATTAAAATGAATCATGTACAGCAAACCAGGACTGCTGCAATGAATATTGTGAGGACCAGAGAAAACAGAATGAGTGCATCTGTTCAAAGCTTTCTGCATTGGCAGAGAACCACTACTGCATTCAGCAGAAATAGAGCAAGTCACAAACATTAGTGTACTCTGGTCTCATTAGCTCCAGCTGTTTAGTAAATAGGCTGTTCTTAGTGTGGGAAGTGTGCCTTTTGCAACCCTCTATCCTTAGCCAATTAGCAGATAGCGATCTAGTTTGAAGACAGCCAATTACATATATATTAGAGAAAGACAGCGGGAGGGAGTTTCTTCTTGGCAGTTACTGATCTTTGAATGTGCATGGTCAGACATGTTCAGTCTATGTGTCATGCTGGAGCAAATATAGGAGGAAATATTGATGTTCCTCCAAGCATTTTCTTTAGTCTTTGAAATTACTTTGTCCAAGTTGATCTTTGTTTAATTCTCATCATATACTGTGCTAGCTGCATGGCATGTTACTGGCTTATTGTTGATGTTGGTTTTATCCTAATACTTATATGTGTAGGCTGAGTGGGTGCATTCCTAGCCATGTAGAATTGTGGGACAAAGCAGCTGTCTCCATGGATTGCAGAGGTAGCGCAGTGAAACGAGACTTCTCATCACATTTTGAGTGATCCCTGCTAAAACAAACACAGAATTAAATTTGAGCATGAATCAAATTTAAGCACCATAACATTTTGATAGGAGTGGAATTTCTTCACTGGATGCCACTTGCCTTATCATGCACTACCAGTTTATGTCAAATACTTTACACTTATCATGTGTTATTTTAAATTAATAGTCTCCTTGAGATAATATACACAAAGTCTTATTTCAATTCATTGGAGATTCACTTGTCCTCATAGTTAGAGACCATAATATAAATAGAAGTACCCTACAAATTTTCAAAACAATCATCTACTTAAACCAGTTTCACTACTGGTTTTAGTAAGCAAAATATTTATTGTAACATTACTTTGTGTTCAATTTTTTTAGCAGTAAGACAGCTGTACGCATGGTCTTTAAGTATTTCTGTGTACATTTATCTACTCTGAGAGCATACCTGGATACAACCACTTACCTAAATGACCAATCACAGCTCTCAGTTTTCTGCAAACTACACAGGAAAAAGTGTAATTTTGTTCTAAAATATTTATGGAACTAAGTTGATGCCCATTACATTATACATTCCACATTGTATGTAGTTGTAATAAGGTGTAAACAAACATTGCATATTTTAATATAAAATATTTACATTTGCAATATAGTTATTTCCATATTGTACTGCATTTTAAAAATTCATCATAATTCATTAACGTAATTGTGAAATAACTGATCAAATTATTAAGTAGGATTGTGGTAGAACAATACGTCAGTGATCAACATACTTGTACTGCCTTCTTTGTGAATGAGCTTCAGGCCATGATTCCAAGCTATTTAAGAAAAGTCTACCCATGTCTGGATCATCTAACAATATAAATTTAGCTGGGTCATGGATATTTACACAAATGTATTTCAAATACCTTTGTTGCATTAGTAAGAGCCCACACTAGTGGTTTTCTGTGGCTATTCAAACTGTCAATGCACTGCCTGACATTCTCATCTTAACCTTGCCCAGGACTTACTCACATGTCTGATGTATCCATGGCATGTTTGTCAGTAGCTTTTTCTGGGGCCAGACTGGTCCACAACCAGTCTCTTGGAAAACACCAGGTCATTTCCATCTTAGTCCTCCAAGAACAACATGCCACTCAGTGACAATTTGGCAGAGGGATTGAAGGGGTTGAACCCTGCTTACTCTTTAATTACTCCCCCATAACTAACTTGTTAATTGCTGTTCTATTGCCAGAGGTGTGGAAGACTTTGGAGCAGGGCAGGTTGTTGCTAGGGAAGACGTCCAGCAGAAGCCCCAGGGTTAACTGCAGGGACCCCAAGGCCCTGCACCTGGACTGCCCTTGCATGGCTGGGACCGCTGCACTGACCTCTCTGACTGTCCCCAGGACCGAACCATTTCCCCACTGCAGGAGAGGCAGGTTGTGTTAGAGACCTTCATGCTGACTTGCCTGGCTTCTGTCCTGAACTGCACTGCCTCTCACACAGAATGTGGAAGTGGTGTCACTTGTTAACATCAAATATTTAACTGTGACTAGAAGTGCTTTAGTATCCAAGTCCATCTAGTGTCCTCACTGTCAGCTCAGTCTTAAACTGTGACACACTTTCTCCGAGCAGCATAAACAGAGTTGCTGCTAAGGCAGGGGCTGGTCATAGTAATTAAATACATTTGTACTGAAGTTCCTTTTCTAGGAGAAAGCTTCCTTGTGCAGTGAACACATAGGGCGAGAGAAGTTGCATGCGGGGATGAAGCAAAGGAGGTTGAGCTGGCCCTGCTGGGAGGAATTCTCAATGTGAATAAAATGAATATCCATGCTATTAACATCTGAGGTTTTTAAAAGAGTTGGTGACAGTGGGAAAAGCTTCAAGTGCTGAGGTGGGGCAAAGACAACAGAAAGATACACATAAGAGAGAAGGTGATGTGTTTTGAGATCTGTGCTGAACATACATGACATGGTAGTGGCCATCAGCAGTTATCTGAGCTGAGAGGCAGATTGCTGTGATCATTTGTAGGCTGGGAATCACCAACTGCATTATGGCATTGTTAATTAGTGTGGAGAATGCAAACAGCCAGCAAGGTTTGGACATGGCATGCCATTCACAGACACTCCCTTGACCTCAGGGTGCTGACCACAGTAAAGCATGCCAGGCTTGCCTCACTTGAGTAGTTTTTCTCTGTGTTAGCCACATAACCCCTTTCTTCCTGTCGCTCTATGCCAGCCCTGAAAACTCCTGAAAAGGAGCTCTCTCTTTTCAAAGGGCAATATATTCTTGGCTAAGACATGGAATTTTGTTCCTAGAAGTCCATCCAAGATTCTTTGGGCAAGAAAATGTGAGTGGTGATTAATTTTTACCCAGCACCAATCTCCTTGCTCATTGAAGGTTCCCATTACCAATGTATTTCTATAGCCTTCCAGACAGAAATCCATGATGGATCCAGAGTGAGTATCAAGACTGCTTCCTAATAGCAGTTTATGTCTACTCATTCCTGGGAGGCAGGAAGGTGAAGGAGGCATGCATGGATATGTTGAATCTGTGGGGAAAAGTGATGACTGATGTAAACAACAGAGAAGCCCACTATTCTGGAAAATATCTAAAGAGATGGTACTTTGCTCTTTTGAGCTAAAATTCAATCATCTCTGATAAATTATGTTTTGATTTATGATTAGTAGTTACGGGAAGGAAACAGGAAGGACAAGCTTTTCTGTACAGCTTCACTGTACCACCAGTTTTGACTGGAATTGATGATGACTAGGTCAGGATGAGCATTTGCATTTCCTTTCTCAGAATGGAGTTGTGTGGTTCTCGTGGCAATCCAAGAAGAGGAAAGTCTCAGAGAAGACCCAAGAGAAGCAGATGGCTCAACCTCCATCGAGGCAGAGCATGTCGTTAAGGTGTGGCCAGTGCACTCACATAGCTTACGCTGAGGTCAAAGGCAGAAAGAGGAGGAGGGTACAAGTTTTGGAAAATTTGGATAAATAAATAATGGAGGCAAAGAACAACAGAAAGAGTTGAGTGAATGATGTATAAACACCCAACTGAAAGAGGGTTAGGGTAGGCACACATGAAGACATCAGGAAACAATAAACCTGAGCACAGAAAGTGGGGAAGACAATAAGAAGGAACTACCAAAAAGAAAATTCTGGGCTAACTATGAAGGGTCCAGTCAGGTGCAGACTAGCAGAACCACAGACAGTCAGACAGTTTGAAGTTACCCATCCAACAAATTTATGAACAAACCCTTTGAGCAAATTTGTACTGGCAGCTTGAGTTTATACTGGTTTAGTGCTTTGAATCATTAGATCATGATGGGTTTGATTTGGTACTAGATACCCCAAAATTTGAATTACTCTTTTATAGTCCACAACACAGGGAACATGCTCACTGTGTGCTTCTGACAATTACAAAGCAGTTTAGAAGAGGAAGTTTATATAATAATATGGTTTTGCGAATACTCTTTTCTATCTGACTTAAATTGTTTATCTTTCCAGGAACCTGTTTACTAAAAATTCCCTTTGCTCAAATGCATTGTTTCAGATTAATTATGTCAGATGTACACTTGAACTAAAAAAATTTAAAAAAAAAAAGTTAGACCTGAACAGGTAAAATGTGCACAATACTCAGCCACACACTTAAACATAAGCATTATCCAAATTTACAACTGCCTAACAAAATTACTTGCTATAGATCAGCTATTCAACAATTTCCCAGGTGTCCTAATTTGTAACAGAGCTCAACAGCAACAGTTCCTATTTATTTCAGTAGGAGTTGTGTAATTCAACAGTTTGTATGATTAAACAAGCAATGTTTAAAAATGGTCACTGCTAGCTGATTCATGCCCTTCTCTATTTTCATTAGGTGTTAATATTAAGCAAAGAAGATCAGAAATGCATAAAAAATCTTTTGTTATTGCTTTAGATCCTTTAACACATTGGTATTTCTGGGTCTTGAATGTTTGTCTCCAAGATATCAGCTGTCCTCCATTATTTGCTTCAATAGTGGTGTTTCTCCCTAGTATTTTAGTCTTGCTGCATTTATTACGAGAATGGGTAAATAGAGTAGCAAATGCAACACAATAAATGTTTTTATGTCTAGGTTATGGTCTCCTGTTCTATTTTTACCCAACTAAAACTGCTCATATTCTCTTTCCACTACCTACCTTATATTGCTCCCATTTACCTATAGATTCTTCGTGCTCCTTAGGGCCCTCCTGTTTTTATTTAAGAAAATAAGAACACATTACCTCAGTCTTTAGTTGAAGTAAAATCATCCAAATCAGTGGTTGTTATATGCCTCTTGCCCACTATGACTGTGGCCACTGCTGGTAGAGGTAGCAGAAGTTGCAGTAGCAACAGCTTTCAGTATTGGCCAGGACAATGTGTTTGACTACTCAGGAATTATTTAGCCAGCCCTTTGCTATGGCACATTTATATTAGAATCTGGGAATCTCAATCTAGGTCTTCAGCACAGCATGGGTTCCAAAAGCATCTCTCCATTTCTGAGCACTTCAGAAAGCTGCATCCTGATCACAGCATTTCTTTCTTTAAGATTCATGTCTGTCACCTGTGAGGAAAGAAAACAATCTTTTGAACGACTTCAAATATATGTGCCTTAATAATTTTTTAATTCATTTTAATGTTCTAGAATAAAATTTTTCACCTACAGGATGCATTAAAAGTAACTTGGTTTGATATATTTGTGGGGGTTTTTTTTAGTCTAAAGAATATGGAAGCAGTAGTCCTCGTTATTTTATAAATTTCTTTTTGAAATCATTTGTAGAACAGTAAATAAAAATGTTTTTCATCATTGCAATTCTTCTAGAATATTCCTCCATTTCTTGCAAACTATGAAGCAAAGAACTTTAAAAAGAGGTACTGTATGTTTTACCTTAGTGACAGACCAAAATATGAAAGAAGGCAGCATAACCACTTTTGCACCACATCGGTTAACTGTTACACAATAATCATATCCCTCATTCTTTTAAAACTAATTTTGCAAAGAACAACTTAGCAATAGACTGTGTTCTTATATAACAGTTAGAATACATTTTCCTGTACTGTGCTTCATAGTAAATTCATGCCAAAGTTTTTAGCATCATGCTATTGAATTGTTGTAATAACAACTCACCTTCTTTTTTATTTAGCTGGTTTTCACTGAGCCGTGTTATTCCACACATGTTCTTCTTCTGGAAGTTTTTATTCCAGAAAGCCTTCAAAGAGTGGGAAGCTCTGAAGCTCTTGAAATTTATCTGAATGTAGTGTGCTTTCTTGTATCTTGGCTTTTACTGCTGCTCACATTCTTTTATTTCCGGGTAATCGATGCAATGAATTTGTCAGGTTTTCATGAAAAGGCATTACACATTATCCAGAAATTGCAACACAGTATCAGTTTCTGTCCCATTTAACATTTTTTTTCCTCTGCTGTGTCTTAAATTAGAAATGCAATTTATGCATCAATATCTTTTCTAGCAGATTTTGAAACTATTTGACGCTGTCAGAATTCCACTTACCTTGTAACGAGTACTGACGTTAGTTCTTTGGGTCAAGACAGAGATATTATTACAGATTCTTTTGTGTTCCTGTACCCTTTGAGATATATTTGACATGCTACTGAAACATGACATTTTTCTGCTGAGTTCATTTCTCTTGTGGCTCATGATGGGAAACATGGAAGCTCTTTTTTTTACTTTACATCTTGCAGTCAGTTTATTGAAAAGGCACTTGTTAGTTCCAAAGGCATGCATGAGAATTCCTCAGGTTTGCTAACCTGTTTTTTTCAGTTGCTCATTATTTTCTATCATTTCTCTCAAAATATGTTGGACTCAGTTTTCTGGGACATGAGCAATGATGATGAAAGAGCACATGAGCATAAAGACTGAAAACACAATGAAACTACTTGAAGTCACAGAATAGCTAAAGTTTAAGAGATCAACTACATACATATGGTTCTTTCTGACATTTAATTCTCAAATCATAAAGTTTTCCTCAGCTTTCTAATCACGTTATCCATTCTCCCAAATAATTAAAGGTACTGATTTTGAGTTGCTGTGCAGAATTGAAGAGAATTCAGAGCAAACAATGCTTTCTTTTCTGATTGTTTTTGTTAAAGTACAGCAAAGCAGGAACCATACCAACTCTCCGATTACCACAGAGCACAGTTACAGGCCACATAGGCAGGCACATTAACCAACTCATGGGAACATAGCAGGAGCTACAGCAATCAAACATAACCCAAGGCACATGCTCCAGCTCTGAGGTGCTTCAGCAAACCAGCATGACTGCTTTTAGCCACAAAGCCAAACACCTCGTTGTGCAGCACAGCACACAGCACTTCCAAGCTGCCCAGTACAATAGACATTCTTCCAACAGAGCGCACACACACAACATGGCACTCCCATGTCTCCATCCAGCTTCTGTTTAATGTTTAAATCTGCTGTGTTTCATGAGTAGAAAGAAGATTCCAGCACCTGTCATCCCACTCTTGATCTATGCTACTCCTATGCTGGCCATGGTGGGATATCCCATGATCTGTAAGGTTGGTGCTCCCTACAGGGTTGTTAACTATGCCAGTGCCATTGCTTGTTTAACAGGTTCTGTAACAGAGTAGCATGAAGATGCAAATACCATAATAGTTCAAACTGCTTTTTCAATTCCCTCTAAAAGAATTAACATGTTAATGACGTGGGTGTTGTGCTTTGCATTTCTACTCCTACAGGTCTTTGCACATTTATAAAAAGCAATAGTTAATCCTTCAAAAAGACATGAAATAAAAATTTTATTCTCAATTCAGTATTTGGGTTATTCTCTCAGTTAAATTGAAAGTATAACCTTTCAACAGGTATTTGTAGCATAGCATGCAAACTTAATGCAAATTTAATGTATAATCCTTCATTTGAGTTTTCATGGCAATTTCTTCAGTTGTCCTTCTGTAATGTTTCTATAAGGTGTGAGGAACAGTTTTCCCAAGAAGTAAAATCTGCTGACTTATTTTGGTCAGGAGCCTCATTACCTTTCTGAACTGTATTTATAAACATACAAAAACATTCTCGGTTCTAATGTTGGTCCTAACATCCTTCCCTTTGAATGGCTGCAGCTTCCCTTTCCCCTGCTTTGTGGGCCCTACACCACTCTCCTCACTTCTTAGGCTCCTGGATGACAGTGGGTCTCAAAGTGGTGTGAGGAAAGGCCTCTGTTACCAGGTCTGCACCAGGCTACCATCGGTGGCCGGTAGGCCTGCTGGGAACAGGAACTATGCTGGGAACACAGGAGTGAGGAATGCTTATTGAGGGACACATTACTGGAATGATACGGAGTGAGGATTCAGTTGTCCTATGAATACACCAAGGCTGTGGACACACCACCACTACCACCCCCAAAAAGCAGGTAGGAATTAAAATTATAAAAGAGGTCAACAAAATCTCCCAGCAATGAAGAATGTGGCAGATTCAGAGGACCACATTCAAGGAATTCCCTCAGCAGACCATGTTACTGTCATCCTCACAGCTTCCTTTCTCCCACTGCCCATTAATAATAATAATGGCCAGTCTTCGCGAACGAAGATTTTGGGAAAGGTCTTTTACCTTTCCAGCCTGTGCAATGGATTTTTTAGGTGAGACATAGCATGCGCTGAACTGAGCCCACCCTTTAATCCTAAGGTTCATCTGCCGGGGCCAAGCAAATTTGGACAATGGCAGTGAGGTCCTCAGGACGTAGGTTTGTTTAGAGTGACCTTCTCATAGATGGATGGCCTCACAGGGCTAATGAGCTCCATCTGCCCGGGGGACTGCGATTCGAACCTGGGTCGCAGCGGTGAGAGTCCCGCATGCTAACCACTAGGCCACCAGGGGTCCCCCACTGCCCATTAGAGAAGAAGGAACAGCAGCTATCATGAGCTGGGGAATACATGGAAGCTGGAAGGGGGGGCTGGGATATCAGACTGCAATACACAGAGGAAGCAAGAAAAGGACAGAATCCAGCCATGTTGTGGAAGCCTCCAGATCTTACCTAAGAGCCCTGGAACATTGCCTTGATCACCACAGCAGAGACTGCTTCAAAGGATGAAAACCACTAGTTTAGAAGAAGGGAAATTTGGAAGGGGTTTTAACAGTGAAAACAACAGGGAGGGTTACCCCAGGGGACAGTGGATATCAGATGTTAAAAAAGCATCTGATTATGCTGCACTGTAGTATACATCCATCTTACTACTAATACAGTTAATGCTCATATATAATACTAGTGCTGGTTTTGTCATTCCAATATGTGTTAAATACAAAATGCACTAACCAGTACTGCTGGTGGTTACTCCTGCTCAACCCACAAGTAACACTACACGACTGGAATGTCCCTTCCCTACAATTTTTTCAATTAAAATATCCCCCAGTTATGGATTTAATGTTCAATCCTAGGTATACAACTGGTTCTAGTTGATTTCCACCGAATTTATCACATGCCAGTAAAACACATGTTCTGTAAAAATGAATGGTATTATTTCCTTTTTTTTTCTACACATACAATTTTTCAGCCACTCTTCCACTGGCACACGTTGCCTCCATCCTCTGCTCACAGACGGACCTTGTATTTTTCACTGATTATTTACAAAAGGTTGGTAATCAGTCCTGTATGTGAAGTAAATGAAATAAAAAAGGTAAATGTACTCTGGCAAATGTTTCTTAATCTGTTTCCTATCATGGGGGCCAGAAATGCATGTAAATCTCCCTGTGTCTTCAGAAAGTTATTTATATATTTGGGACTGGCTGAATGCCCATTTCTTCATATCTTTCTGTCATTCATTAATTTTTTTCAGCAATAAACTAGTGTACAAATATGAATTACTGGCAAGCCTTAAAATGTGAAACATAACTATGAAGTTGCAGATTATAGACAGTCACAGCACACAGTCAAGAAAAATTGCAATGTTTGTTGCAGTGAATATGAACCCTGGGTTTTCACCCTTGTTAAAAAAATCAAATGAATTTTTATTTAAAGAAAACATTATCAAAGACTGACTGAAGTAGAGGAATAACTGATACCAATAATAATGTTGTTAGGGGTCGAGACAACTTCTTATAAAGACAGATCATACATAGTACTGACGCTTAAGCAAGAATTTGCTAAGACAGTTTCCTTTTGAAAGGCTCCATGATGATACAAACTCCTTTCAAAAATATTTATGAAAAAAATGAAACAATTAGCTTGTTTTGCTAAATAAATCCTTAATGATGCAAATTTGACATTCATTTATCAGCGCTAACTTGATCTCAACTTTTTTCTATCCTCAAGTGTTAAAATTAAACTGCAGCCTCTAACACTTCCTGCACTTCCTGTTTGTCCTGTTACCTCCTTGATGGAGGTGTTGGTTTTGTTTTTTTTTATTCCAATCTTTAGTTTTAATTTTTGAACGGGGGGGGAGTATTTTCTTTGAAACCATTATTGCCAGCATCATGGAAATTAGTAAGCATACTTAGGCAAAAAACTCCTATCTAAACAACCTAACAAAAGAAAAGACACAAATCAAAACCAGTTTGGCGCATGCTTCTTACTAAACCAAACCAGAATGGCTCCACAATTCTTAATGCAGTCCACAGGCAGGCACTTCCCTTTTGGACAATAAAGTTTTACATATTTTTTGCCAGCGGTGAACTTTGCTTTTTAATATACCATATATTTCCCTGACACTTTGGCTAAAAGTAAAAACTGCTGCAGTTTAAGTATGTTATTTAGACTTTTGATATAATGTAAGCCTGGACACACATATATTCCATTACCTTCTATCCATCTCATCACAATGGTAACGCAGAAGCAAGAAGTGAGTCTCTCTCCTTCCATTCTGTACTTCGCTGGTGTTTCCATTTGCTCTAAAAGACTGTGACCAACTGTTCCACCTACTTTACTGTGAGTTTGCTTAAACTTTACTCTTGGATGTCTTCATTTTCTTATGTCAGCTGGTTTCCTTATGACTGTTTCACAAGGGAGTCTGTATATTGTTATCTGAATTGCTTATCTAAATTAAGTTCAGCACTTCCTCTTGATTGTGACAGAGATAAACTGCTGGCTGATGTTTTTCAGGGGGGGAAATATTTTCTCCTGGGACTTGAAGGATATGGGAGACATACACTATATTACTGAAGTTCCAAGAATATGAAATAACACATAGCATCATGTAACAAGAGGATCAAATTAACAGAACGTACACTGAAACATCACAATCAAAATGCATAGTGAAATCACCTTTTCCTCCAATTTTTAAGACCTCTAATAGAAGGTCATAGCTAACCAGCACTTAACACTCAGTCCTTGAAGTATCTGTAGGTGCTCAATGCCACACTGAAATTTCAAAATCATTACAGATAGCATGCTCCTAAAGCTCTTGGCTACAATATGCCACTAAACACACATTTTCCAAAATCAAAGATCCCAATTATCCACTGGAATGAAGAAAGAACCTGTAACAAGCAAGCAGGACCCTGTTCTTAATTTTAAAATTATACAGCTTAGATTAATAAAAATAAAAAATATTTAAAAACAGATATTCCTTAAATCTTAGACTGCTTTTCAAAAAAGCTGTTCACTACTCTGAGCAATTTTCTTCTACTGAAAACTTTAAGGGACATAAATACAAATGAACACATAGAATAATGCCTCAAAAACAGGGGCAGTCATGGAAGCTACTTTTGCCAGCACCACTTATGTAGTCCATTACATTTTCATTCACCATAAAATTTTATTAAGTCCTGTTATTTTTGTTGGTTTCTGGGTGTCATCAATTTTAATTATGATTGCTTTTTTTTGTTTTGTTTTGCTGAGTTTGAATATTTTTAATCTATCCCTTTTATCAACCAAAAAAAGAAATCAACTTAATTTCTGTTATAGTGTACTTACCATACAGCTACAATTCTCCACATAAACTAAAGCATATTAAAATGTATTTTACATTAGATGAAAATGTGTAGAAAAAGATAAAGCTACAGAAACTGAAGCAGGCTAATTATAAACAAAGCTAATAGCTTCATTATAAAGCTTACCATAAAAAAAACAAAGACTAAGAACAAGAATAAAAATCTTAACAATGGAAAAACCCCTGTTCTCTTATTCAGACGGTCACATGTAAACCCTTACACATTTCATAATATCTGCACATCTAAAATACAAATATTTAAGGCTGTTTGCCCTTGGCTTGTTCCTTGGTCATTTTTAAGTGCCATAACACAGTCTCAAAATTCTGTTCCATAACTTTAGGAAAGAAGAAACTGTATCAACCTACTGAAGACTTTTTTTTCTTTTTACTCTACCGTCCTTCCGCTTGGGTTAAATATTCAAGATTAGCATAAAGAACATAGAATTGTCCCAGATATTAGTGCTATTATTCTTTCCTGCTGCTTATGTTGATGACACTATATGGCAAACAATTCTATAGTTACCTGTAATATACATTACATCACTGATTACTGCTTAGAGAGGCCATAAGCTACAAGGCATGAAGCACTGCTCGCAACAATAGCACCCCATAAAAGAACCTTCAGAACAACCACAAAGTTGAATAAATGGAAAAAAAAAAAATTCAAATTCTAGAAAGGACATAGGTCTATTCCAGCAACTCTATTTAAGGAAGTCACCTGTCTGCAATTTCTTTCCTGACCCTCCATATGATGTGAAGCAGTGACAGAGAAGTTCCTTCAATATTGACACATTTTTTTATGTTGAATTACTTGGCAAAATTTTAAATTTTGTCCAAAACCAGAGGTTTGAACCTAGAGTGGAAATTAGAGATTTATTTTAAGTAATACCAATACTTAATAAATTATAGTTTTGACAAATACTAAGGAGGTCCATTCAATTCTTAACTAGTAGTATACTTCCATTTCTAGCTTTACCAACTGAAGGTAAAGTAATGAGGAGCGTGCACCTGGAGGACAGATATCCTGATATCTGCCTGGAACAATCTCTGCTCCCCTTTGAGTTCCTTTGTTTTGGCTTGTTTTGTTTTGAGCTGCAAGAACTCTGCAAATGGGTGTTGCCAGCTTCTGGCAGCCATATGTGTTGCCTACCATCTGTTTTCATTCCACTGCTCTATGGAGACAAACATACTTTATTTTTAGTGTTCTACATTTCCTGATGTTGCACATAATAGGGATAATATCTCACACATAGATCACTAGATGTGAAAAATCTTCCATGGATAACAGATGAGTAAAGGCAACAGATTATCATACAGGACCAGACAAGAAAATTTTCATTACTTACTTCTCAATGCAAGCAAGTATATAATTTACACTGAAGTTTGCTTGATTCCTGCATAGCTGGGCTTTCTTTCCACACTGCCTAGAAGGGGCTTCCTTCATATGTTTTAAAGATATATCTTTTCAGCAACTTCCTGAGGTGTAGGAAATTACTACCAATAATGAAGTGGGTTGCCTGTAACAGTTGCTATTTTGCATGCAGCACTCAGCATCAAAACAGGATACAAAGAAATTAATAGTACGATCAGTTCTAAGACAGAAAACTGTGTTACAAATGCCTGTTTGAAAGGAGGAATTCTGTGCACAGGCTCCCATATAGTTCTGTTGGAAACCATGCACTCCAAAATCAGTTTGCAAAAATTAACTGGGTAGTACAGTATTTATGCAAATTTTGATCGAAAAGATTTCACTGTTACACCTCAGCTTTGGAAGGCACCCATGGCATGCTGGACAGCTAGTTGTTCTTTAAAATGTACCAGACTAAGCTGAATTCTTGAAAACATCGCTGATTTTACCTGTATTAAGTCATACATTTCTTAATTTAACCCCATTTAACCTTCACCTCCTCAAACTTCTAAGAAGTTGAGTAAGCATTGACTTTTAGCTACATGTGCCCTGATCAACATCTACTACTCATCCAGTATCATATCATTGCCAGCATAACTTAATACCCATACTTTTAGAGTAGATTGCAGTACAGATCTTTCCACCGTGTAATATTGCAAATTCAGGATAGTGTAAGTTAATATTAAGCAACTATGGATGAGGAATTACCTCCAGTTTAAAAAAAAACAATACAAAAACTATTAAGATTTGCACTAAAATGGAGATCAGCAGAGAAAACTAGTGTTTTTATAATAGCTTATGCAGGAAGAGATTCAAAGTGTTCAGTTTATAGGGTACTCCAAAAGACACCTGAAGGAGTTACATTTAAATTTTTCATATTAGCTCTATTCAGTCTGAGTGTTTTACTTATTAATCCTTTCATAAAATAAGCACTTCTATTCATTGCATGTGATCTTACAAATACAGAAGTACTTTCTCATTAATTAGATTGGTAAGGCATTTTTCAATCGTTCAATCTTTTTAATTCATTTAAGCATTTTAATAATGGACTTCAATTACTCTCCTCTTTTATTAAGTTATCTGCAGCTCTTACTCTTCCCCCAGAGATTCTGACCAAAATTGTGAGAAAATTACTTTATCTTACTACTTTTAAATTTATTCTGCCTTCTGCTTTCAAATCATCAGATGCAGTTAAGGAATTCTGCAAGTGCTCAAGGTCCTTATAAGTAATATAATGCAAAAACATGATTTCTGTCTTAAAGCAGTAACCTTTTCAGCTATCAAAATATGAAGTGGAAACATTTCTGTGGATTGGTTTCACTGAGTCTTCTTTTTCCTTTTTTTCTTTCAAGATAGTATACATTTTAGTCTAAAATACTTTTCTGTTGGTTCCCATTAAAATCTCAGAAAAAGCATTTAGCTGAAACCAAATACAGGAGAGTTTTGAATGGAGACTGGCAAATTCACCTTGCATTACCCAGGTATTGATGAACAACGTTCCACACAGTACCCTGTCACTGTGTTGTTCTGTGCTAAGGGAGTGAGACCCTCCCTAATCCCCCTCGTAAACTGTCAATTTACATTCAGAAGTATATAATCCATCATGCATCATTCTGTCACTCCTAAACTGCCATAATCTACTACATTTTAAGATGCCTGTGTGATCATTTTGACACCTGCATTCACTGTGCCTTTGCAGTTTCCTAATAAAATCTGAATAGTTTTGTATTTGCTTAGATTTGTTGAAAGGTCAGTAAGCATTTATTTCAACATAAATTATTTTTGACAATAATTTCAAATATACAGAGGTTGGAAAGGTCAGAAAATATAAGAAAAACTTTAAAAACACTCATCTTGAGAACATCAACCCTAATTCTCATTTATTTTGAAATAAAACTACAGTTTGAACTTTGCATTTTAGTCCTATAATAGAAAATTTCTTGTATCCAGCCACAGACTTCCTCAGATTCTCTGATAAAGACTATCTAATTTGAACATTCACTCCATGCTTTATTCACAGCACTGCAACATCTGACATCTCCTGGATGGCATTTTTTCATTTTTTATTATATGACTTAAAATAAATTTAAACACTGCATTAATGAACAGAAAATTTGTATATATTTTTACATCGAATTTGGGTATAGTATTCAAAGCAACTCAAGACAATAGCTTAAGAAGATTTCAACCTGCATGCCTACGTTTAAAAAGATTTATTAAGCAAATCTGAATTTGTATAATTAGAAAGTATTTATAATTAATAACCTATTTTTTCATAGAAAAAAATTGTGATTTCTTACTCAGTTTTAAGTCTCAATTTCATACCATAGGCTATGACAATTTTAGGTACATGTGACCACTTCTTTCAAAATTAGTTTCTAGCAACCTTCAGGCTTCCAAATATTTCTAGGTATTAAACACAGTTTTAATACTTAGATTGCAACAAGGAAATTCTGAAGTAATCTTGAAACTAACTTAATTTCAGCACTTCTGATATTACACAAAATCATATTTTTCTTTAAAATGTCTAAATTTTCTACTATTCTTTAAAATATTTTAAGACCATCAAAAGCATCTGTTGTAATTGGGAAACAGAATTCAAACTGTTTTTCCAAGTAGATTATTAAAAAAACCCCAAAAAACAGGAAGCCAATCCCAAAACTCCAAATTAAAATCAAGTACAACTGCTTTGTGCTCCTATGGTCGAGTTTTGCTAAAAATTATTTCGTTTTCATTGTAAAGTTTAAGAAAACATACTTTATGGTTCAATGCCTTAATTTTGGTGTTTGTTTTACAGACAAAGAAGTTTTCATTGTGATGTTTACCTATTCAATACATGTGCAGTTTCAAGTTGGTTTAATGGAAGCAGTGAAACAGGAAATAAGCTGCCAGCAGGATGAAGAAGAATTGCCAGCCAGCAGGATGAAGAAGAATTGCCAACCAAATCTTCATGTTGTATCCATAGTATAATGTCTTTGAGGAATCCAAAGTACATCTCTGCAGTTCAGATTCTCAGAGGTCACTGAGCTTTATAATTATCTCCAAGCAATTTTCTCCACATCCTGTTAAGCTCTCTCTAAACAGCTGTGTGTGTTGCCATGCAACTTCACCATCCCCTCCATTTAGAACTGCTTCCAACATAACTTCCGTTGCACCAGAAAAATCTGAATAGGAGCAAAGATTTTTATCTATCGGAGGAAAAGATAAATAATTCAGTAAGCCACTGCTCCAGACAGTATATAATGCTAGAATGCATGTTAAAAAGTATACGTTGTAATGGATGTTTAAGGATCTCAGTTGCACCTACTCAAATTCATCTCTCCATTAGTGGCAGGGAAAAAAAACAAACCACGAGCTACAAATTTTTAGTTATTATTTGTTTAACACTCATGTTCAGAGGACCTAGTCAGGATTGATGCCACCAGACATAGAAGCACCTATCATTCATAGTAAAACACTATTGTCTTGTATGCACTCTCTTGCTCTTGCCAGCCCTGCTCTGTTGCAGGTAGGGTTGTATATATTAATATAACTGGTTTTGTACCAGTGTTAATTAAATGCACAGTATTTTCTGGACCTTGCTAAGAAACACTGAGTTGGAAAAAGTGAAAAAGTATTCGCATTTCATTTTTAGTATTTGCACAGTACTTTCTCCATATAAACTATTTATTTCCAGTTACACCTCTGCTGCGTGACATAATTCATTATTTAAATTTTACACTTACCTCCCATCAGAGCAATTTCTGCTTTTGGAGAGCAAAGTCTCCACTGTATTCTTCCACTCTGAAAAGTCTGACTGCTTGTTCTAACTGAAATGTTATCTATTTTTAGACCGACTGACTTGCACTCAAACTTCCAGCTGATGGAAGCAGAGGATGACCCTTCTTTTCGGGCTAAATAAACCTAAATGGAAAGAAGACATGTCAAAAACTGATATGACCAAATTGAGATTTGGTCAAAAACTGAGATGACCACAGACATCGAATTAACAAGGACACAAAAATCTTAACATAACACACTCATTCTCTGTCAAGCCTCTGAACCTTTAAAGCTGTACTAAATACAATTTTATATATTAAAATTCTTTCATCCTTAAGTTTGTTTCACAGTTAGGTAATGGTACGTCTTCATAGCCCTTCACTAGGGAACACTAAAGTATTTCAACATACATAGTAAAGTCCAAGCCACAAAAACATCTAACTTTTCTCCTAGGACTTGACATGTCTTGGTTAAAGCATAGCACCCATGATATCCATATATAAATCCTTCATTAATGTTATTTGAACTGTTAGAACTTTGCATAATCTAATTTAGTCCCAATGCTGTTCTAAACTTCATCTGGCCGAACAGTCTCTCTCCCATATTAACGTTCATTAAAGTTCTGTGAACCCTCATAAAAATTTTGTAACAAGCATCTGACAGTTCTTTTAAGTATAACATCTATTATTAACAAACCAAGGAAACGGACATTACTGGTTAAAGAGTGAAAACTGCTGTGATTCTTTTGGAAACCTAGGTTAAGGAAACTCAGAAAAATTCTGTCATGTCCAGGCTTCTGATTAATGTCATACTGAATGGACTTAGCTCTTTATTTTTTAATCTTGAAAGAATAACCCAGAATAAAATGATAATAAAACACAGCAGTATGTTTCACTAAAGATCCCACTCTAATAGGAAAATCTCATTGGCAGACTATAAAACAGAATTCAAGTGTTCCTATTTTCATGTTTAAGAAAGCTCAAAAACCCCAAAGGTGTGATGTGTCACACTGAAGATCATCTACGAAAATCTAATGATTTACCCTGTTTTCCTGTGAATATAATATTAACGTTCATGAAGGTGCTGATCTCCACAGGTTTTTTTAAAGTATCTCAGGTAGTTCTAGCAAGAGCTTTCCCTTGATCAGATCTTATTGAACTGCTGTATTTGAGCAAGGAAGCCAAAACACTCCATTAAATACTACTTGGTTGAGGTGCGCTAAAAATAGGTTTTTATCCCTAAAAGCCTTAAACATTAGCCTGTTTCGTCTTCCATTATAATATTCCAGCACTTAGTCAGAAAAAAAAGAAAAAGTTCTCTTTTGTGTCTTTTTGACTGTCCTCTAACTTTCAAACTTGGCTGTTTTGTTTCCAGAATTATTTGAAAGAAGTCTGAATTCGGATAAAAAAACCCAAACCAACAAACCAACTCATTCAAATTCTCTTTCTTTGGAGCAATTCTTCTGGAAAACAAGCCTTTTAGAAATACATGGATTTCAGATCTACAGGTTCTTACACTCTTATTATCACGTACTATGGTCTGCTTGCTTAAGCCCTGCATGCCAAGTTATCTCTGGGTAATCTGATTGAATCTGTGATTTGTACCTGTTTGCGTTGTGTAGCATAAAGTCAAGTGACACTGAATAGCAAGAAAATACACAAATATGATGGAGATGGCTACTATCAGATTGACCAAGATGATCGTTTATTTGAATCATTCTGATCAACAACATTGCAAAGACAGAATACGCAGCTGATGGTTATTTTCTGTTACTCCTGGGCTAATACCTACAGATACATTTTCTGTGGCTTTAGATTTAAATTCCTTTCCATTCATCACATAGTAGATGATAAATGAAGTATTTCTGTAATGGCTCTTTTGGCTCTTAAGTTCTTGGACAGAGGCTGAACCAAATTCCAAAGCTGTATCTTGCAGAGCTACTAGAGGAGTTACAAAAATAACAGGCAAACACCAAACAACCTTTCCCTCTGTCGCTGTCTCCCATAACACAAACAACCCTTAATGAAAAGTCATTTTAAATTCTTAGATTCTTACACAGACTTTCTGCAGGATGTAATTCCTGCAGAACTAACACGCCTTTCCCATAAGCCTGAGATACACCTGGAGCTGTAGCTCCTAATTTCTCAAGGCCTTTGACTCATCCTTTAGAGGTGCTGCTGAATACAAGATTAAAGTCTTTTCACCTAGTCTTTTAAATTGGTCCCACTCTGTTTCATCTGATTAATAGAGGTGAGCAGAACTGTAGGTTAGTTTCATTGCAAGGACAGTATGTTTCTGGCAAAAGTGAGGATAACTGATCACTGCAGATTTGAAAATATAATGTGCTATCAGATTATTAGCAGATCCTAGGAAAGCAGAGAACAGCTGTCCCTCACTCTGAGTTTTTGTTACTTCTCTTCTACTGTTAGCCTATGCTGTTGTGACATCTTTTATATTATTCTCCCATTTCTTCCCTTTTTCTTTCTCCTTTTTGTAGCATAACCTCTCCAAGCTATTCCCCCTTTGGATTTTGCAAGTCAGTTTAGATCCAGCACAGAAAACCTCAGAAGCCAGTTAGTTACATACCTAACTCCATTTTCATCAATGCGAAGTAAACCACTGCCTAAGCCAGAAAAATGTTTGGTCAGAGACCCTTCAGACAAGTAAAATGGCAGAGGAAGAAAGCAGTGACATACTATAGGCCCTGCCAGGAATGTTCAGTTCCACAGTTGGTTGCTGTTGTGGGAAAAGCTGTTTGCTAGTAAACAACCCCTTTCCATCTCACAGGCTTCAGTTCTCAGATTTAGAGCATATGACTCTTCCGCTGCTCAGTGTCTTGACAGATGGGAAGGATTCTGGGCAGGGTATACAATAATCTGGATAACTTACAGGTTTTTGCCTTCTTGCAGATGGAACTATAATATTTAGGATGACAATTTCTTCCTTTGTGTATCAAAGAGATATGATACTCTGTAGAGCTATTCTCCAAAACAACAAAAAAAACCCCACCTTTTTTTCTTCTTTTTTTTTTTTTTTTTTTGCTTTTCAATAAAACAGCATTTCCCCCAAAGCATAAGAAGGAAGCAATTTTTTAAAATTTGGTGCTCTGGCAAAGACTTTGCCTATCTGCAGAGAATTTGGTCATCCTCTCTGAAAGACAAGCTAAATTTATTTGCAATTTCTTAAATCATCTGGCAGTCTTACCTGAAGCTTAACAGTAACATTTACTAACATCAGCTAAATTCTATGGGCACCAAGAGAGGTTTTGATACCAAACATTGGCAAGGGTTTTCTATTTTATTAGAGTTATACTTTTACAGTAGATTATATACTTTTAATAATTGCTAGTCTTACCATTTTCCAATCTGTTTCAACTTTTCTCCAAACAGATTCTGCCTTCCAAACACCTGCTTCCCAGCCACTTATTTTTTCATTGTTATTGGAAATCCGTGTATAACTATCATCTACTATATTGTAGATGAGGTGGAAGAGTTTAGATGTCTTCTCCTTTTCAGAGGGAATAAAAAGTACTTCTTTTCTTTTCTGAAAAAGGCAAAAAATACAAGCACCTTCATTCCCCTGTGCCTAAATTCCCCAAAGACTATGTTACTTTTAAACAGTATGTCATAGTTTCCCAATTCAGTTTTGCTGCAAGTGAAAAAAAAGTCATTTTTAAGAGAGGTCATGGACAAAACCACTTCTGCAGAACAGAAGTTTTAAACCAGTTTCCTACAATAGACCCGCACCTTTTTACAAGGGGGAGCACCAATTTTATTTTTAAAGTTTTCACATAATTACTTTTAGAAGTAATTTTTTAACAAGCTAGCATAAAATTAGCACATTTAAGTAGGAAATTATGAGTTAAGAATAAAACAGTTTATATGTTGAGCATATTTCTTGTACAATCAATAAGTAAATAGTTATTTGAATAGCAAATGTAATTCTGTGACTACCATATACAGGTGCTTCGGTAAGGCAGTTGACAAACCAACTTCAAAAAACTTCAAGTACAAACTTTGTAACTTCACCCTCTTATTTTTCTTTTAAAATTTCATTGTTCTTATGAGTTTCAGCAAAGCAGAAATTAAGTCTTCTAAACTATGGAGAACTGTAATAAACTCTTAGTTTGTCAAACTTAAGCAATCCTATGAAATTCAATAATTTCATTTTACTGGTTCTATTTAGGATTGTCAGTCATTCACGTCAGTATTGTTCCAAGATTAAGGTCACACCTTTGCATCCTGACTCAAGCTAAATATGACTACAGTTTTGGAAAACTGTATCTTAGTATAAAATAAATAAAAATCAAATCTTGCTTTTGGAAATAGTAAAAAAATATTGATATGAAAATCAACCAAGCTTATTATTTAAGAGATTGTTTAAAGCACAGAATTCTAGTTGCTCCCACATTGTTCTATTAACCAAAACAATTGGTCAAAACCTACTATTGGTTAAAAGCTGGAAGTAACTAATAATAGAAACACTTTTTTAAAGTTTTCCCAATTGTTTTCAACTGTCTTAAATTTTCTAGTTCTGTCACACCAACTATTAAAAGGAAAAAATATTTTTTATTAATTTGTAAGAACAAAACACATCTAGATCAAGGATTCCCAAACATTACCGGAATCAACAGATAACCATCAATTGTCCAAATTTACTTGTGGACCTCTACTGAATTCACATCAAACTTGCACCTAATGTTTTTGCATAATTCACTTGTTTTAACTAAATCTGCTAGCTACCTAACATGAGATGCTCTTCCTCTGCAGAGCATAATCATAAAAGCTCTAGTTAGCTACCTCTAAGATGGTCATCAGTGCAAAAGTTAAATACCTCTGGACCAATTTCACCTCTGGCCATTCGCCAAGCCATTGAGCCTGATGTCCTTCCACCATATTCTCCAGGTTTAGGTGTTTTAGGAGAAATAAATTCAACAAGCTCCACAATAGTCCTTTCCAAGAGCTCTCTTTTTCTACTTTCTGACAAAGACTTTTGTCTCTGGAAAAGAAACATATAAGAAAAAGTAAAAAATTCAGAAAAAATGGTATTTGTAATTCTGCTCTAGAGTGACATCAACAGGGAAAAACAGAATTGAAAAAACAGGCTAAGATTTAAAATCTAGACTGACTGTTAGAAATATTAATCTTATACCACATACACAAATATAAACCAGTCATAACTGCATGGTTATTCAACAGTAGTGCTTTCTCTATGAACTTGCTATGCACTAACTATGAGGATTTCTTTTAGAACAAGGTTTGTGCTGTGTTTTTAATATATTTGCTTGGATGATGAGATGCTTCCATACCACATTTGATCTCCATTTATACAGAGATATATATATTCTGTACCATAGCTGTTTTCAGTATTATTTAGGGGGAAAGGAAGGTAAGTATCATTTTTGGGTCAAACTATTTTTCTCTAAGGTGGAATGATTTGGTTAGCAAAAGTCTTGGTTTTGTGATTGAGCCTAAACAAAAGATTCAGTTCATCTTCGAAGAGTTATTTCACTGTGACTGATTCTATCATAAACAAACTATGACATTTCTATTTTTGCTGATGTCAGAAAACTAAGAAAAACTTACAAAAATTTACTTCCAGGTAAATCAGTAGAAAAAAAAAAGAATTACATAACATGCTTTCTTTATCAATAAAAAAATGGGCATTATTTTAATGCAAAACATTAAAAAATTTAATTGAGAGGCTGGTATTTTGTCTGCATGATTTTCACATCAAATATGCAAAGCTGGCATATAAAGCCTTCTTTTTTTAACTGGGATAAACTCAGACGGGGCTGGAAAATTAAGTTCAACATTAAGTAGGTAAATTGTTACACATCATCTTTTTTTCTGTTTTGGTGATCACCCAAGGCATGCACACTCAGCCCACTAGGACCCAAAACTTGAGGCTGATAAACATTCCAATTTTCTCAAAAGCAGTTCTGACCACAGATAGTTTTGCTATTAGAGATCACAAAAGAGACATTTTAAGATTGTTGTCTAGAACAAAAAAAACTGATGTGGAACTGGGTAAAGGGAAGTAAATACAGAGAAATTATGAGAAACAGCTCCAACTGAAAAAATTCCAGATGCCAAATACCAGTTCTAACACAGCAAGGGAGGAAAAAGCCCTCTGCTTGTGTTGATGGATGACAAGCAGTGATTCCAGCAGCGAAACACCAGGCCTTCCTCAATCTAACAGTGAGGAACACTTTGGATATGCATATGCAGTACTACAGATCTCGTTCCAGCTCAGAGGAAATTTGATATGGCTTACCCTAAGTTAACAACACCAATTACAATTTTCTTCAAGCCCCTTTCATGTAGGGGAAACTTAGTGTCAGGGGGTGTAGCAGTAAACCCTCAAGGGGGCATCACCTCTGAAGTCAGTGATGCCATGCTGAGAAATAGATGCCCTTGCTGTGCAGTTAACAGTAGCTGAAAAAAAAACCTGTTAAAGAACAGTGCTTCAACACGAAAAGGCTTCAGAAAACAGACCTCTTTATGTACAATACAAGAAATCAGTGAGATCCTCAGCTATAAACAGTACAAGTATGTTAATTCTTGCCACCCGGCAGACTCCTGCATAGAAATGCTAGCAGCGTGCAAGACATGCACAATGCTCAGACTCCGCAGAGAACAACACTGCCTGTGCTGGGAAAACCTGTAACTACATTTCCTACCAATGACATTGTCATGAATAGCATCCATGTGCTGAAATGGATTTCAAGAACTCCATTATCAAGTGCCATGGCTCAAACTTCCTGCTTCTGGTTTTGTCTTTTTTTTTTTTCCCTAAGATATTACCCTCTACATACATGCTCAGGCCTCATCTTTGTTTGGCAGACAAAGGGAATGAGAAGGAAGAGGGATTGTGAATTGCACCTTTAAAATCAGTTCTGTATCAGCTGAGTTGTGCTGTTGATGCTTCCTGAAGGACTCTGCTTTCAGGAGACCAATAACCTATGGTTTAAGCGGATGCACTGCTAGGTTTGACATAATTTGAGGGCAGAAATTGAATTTTAAACCTTTGACAAGGAATGCTGGATCATCTCACATTAATCACCATGAAATGCTTGCAATTCAACCTAAATTACTAGTTTTCCTTGTAAGAGTTGACCTGGCTATAACTATAACCCTTCACAATCACTACCAAAAAATTGGGGCCTGGAGAAAATAAAAAAAACAATTTGCTTCCCTGTCCCACCATCCCATTTCCAATGAAAGCAGTGGAAAGTTCAGGGTCCTCTCCCCACTATCTATAGGGGTAACATACAAGGGACTGGAATAGGACAGTGCCCATACAAAGTACGTGAAGAAAATTTGTAGTCAGTGCTATCATAGTGCATAGAATAACATCAGATAGTGGGTAGCCCAGAGGCTCCACACTCATTTAGGAATGCCTGACCCAGATAAAATACACACAGTATTTTTGAAAAGTAAAACAGTGTACTGAGGAGATTAAATTATCCTTGTCTGTTATCCATTTAACAGCAAGCCACTCAACATGCTTTGAACCATTTTTGGTCTCTGCTTGGCAACTAAACAGACATGCAGAGAAATAACTGCTCTTTATGCAGGAAAGAGCAGCAATGACCCCTCAAATCCATTTTTGCTAACACTGCAGTACGGGTGATAATGTATACTGCATGCCATGCTTCTCTTTAATTGTAACTTAGAAGAACTGAGCTTAAAAGACACAGTGTTGGAGCTTTGCGTCAAACAACACAAAGACTATAATCCCTCCTAGAGTGGAGCCAGTCTCTAGGAGCTGATGGGAAAAAGGAAAGTTAGTGAAGGTCTCTGTGTCAATTATTGGTCGAATAGGCTGCAGTGAAGGAAACCATATGAGCTGAAGTGGAGACTCGTAGCAGGTTTTCATTACTCCATTCAGTCACAAGACATCTCGATAGTCCCAGGGATGAGCTGCCTTACTCCTCTGGTTAGCCTTGTCAGTGCTCCACTCTGCTAACTTTTCATTACTGACAAAACAATTTCAAGCCCTGGTCTCATACATGAGTTCAACTCAATTCTTCACACTCTTAGTGTGTTGCTATAACTCTGAAGCCAGCAGGCTCCTAAAAAGGCATAATCTGCTTATTAAAGTATCAGCTGTATACTAGCACTGGAACTACAGTTTCCATGCACAGGAATATTAGCCCTGTAAGGAAGCGAGGTCAAAACAGAACCCCCCAGGTAGTTCACGGTTTTATGATATTCTAGTAAACTGAATCAAGCAAAGTTCATCCTGTTCCAAGTATGGAGTGGAAAAAAGCTTAGCAGAAAGGTTCTGCAACTATGATATGCAGGTATAAATGGTTCCATGCATTTTGGGGATGTTAAGCATGAAAAGTGCATATATATGGAACTGAGTCAAAGCTCTGCTGATGGTATCAATGCTTTTTGAACGTCTTGGAAACCGAATCATTTCTCATGCTTTCTGGAGCTTGTAAAAAGTCACAGAAAGCAAATTAAAGCCTACATTTCTTACAACTGTAAATGCTACTGTTTTCAAGTCAGAGCATTACTGATGTGGAAAACACTCAGCCACCCTCAAAGAGTCCACACAGTTAGAAAGGAGTTGCAGTTTACACCCAGCCTCTGTTGATATACAAGTCTACATCAAAGTCACTAAGAAAAGTAACATATACACATATGTCTATGTAATAGATAATATGATAATCCTTTTGCATACTATTCTTTATCTTATTTCCCATAAGTTCAGCACTGCATCTGATCCTTATGTATTCAGGTTAAAAAGTATAGTTAATGGCATTTTTTATATCCATAGTGCATGGACATTATCACATTACCAAATGCATTCCTTTGTTTGAGGACTTCACATTCTGCAGATGCTTCTGTTTCACTTTAATAAATCCATTTAAGAAAAGCTACATACCGTTCTATTTAGTGCGTTAATTGTCTCACGTAGCGTTGCTTCGCTGAGTGCTGTCCTTCTAGAGAGTACTTCTTCATGTTTACAGCTGTATCTCCAGGTGACATCAACAACCTCAGGCACAAGTTGAAGAACAAAGTAAAGTAACCAAAATTCTGATGTATTTTGCTTCATATTTAAAGAGGCTAGCTAATCAAAGTATGATCTTCCATAATAATTCTGGAAATCCCACCAAAATGGAATACATAACATACTTCCCTCAGGGCAAGTTTATTTATTATTAACATCGTTACTCCTACCTCATCTTTGGAGAATGCAATTATGTAGGAGAGCTTCTTTCCCCATCCAGTTTCATAGAGAAGAGGCTTATCACAGACATTTTCACAGGGATCACAATGAAGCCATCTTTTCTGAGATGAAGAATATACCTCAGTCCACACATGATCTATGTAATAAAGGCCAAGAATACACAATGATTTATAAGGATAGAGCATCTCTTCTAATCTTGCAGAATCTTTTAACTTTTTCCAATTTATCAAACAAAGGAACAGGGGCAAGAACACATTTTCTGTACATATACATTCACAAACATTACCAGAGCTTTGTCTTTCTGTCTTAGGATCACAGTCCCTTAGATTCAACTAAAGACTGTATCATTCTGAAGCCAGTTATCTAACCTTACTTGCAGAATTGTATTTCAGCTCATCAGGCAAGACAGAAAATTGAATGTATACTGTCTTTGTTAGCTGAACTGCATAACTGTACATGCTGCCTTGATTACTAATATAATCTGAGAAACATAAAATACATAACCTCATTTTGCATAGGTTTATATTAACATTACAATATTCTAGAACACTGATACCTGTATAGTCCCAGACATATCTCGCTTCAAACCCTACAGCTCTGCAACACAGTGTAAAACAGTTTGCCCACTCGCCACAGCGTCCACGTCTTGTTTCCAGAAGTTTTTCAGGGTTGTTGTACCTACAGGAGAAAAACAAAACAAGAATAACTGAGAACACATTTCACCTTTCAGAAATCTTTACATCATAACTGTTCTTCTGATGCTTTGAACAGATTTCAGTACCAATCAGTCCATAGATGACAACAGAAATGAATCACTGTACTGCACAAAACAAGTCTGAGCAGGATGTTACTTCAGCTCACGTGACTCCATCATGTTTATAGCAGCACTAAAATGAATCTTATTTTTCAAGTTTTTAAGATTGATTTAGACGTCTTAAAATATGATTTTTGTACACTGGTCCTTTTGATAGTTAGCAAAAATAATCCAAAGATTGGATATTTGCTCTTTTGCTAAAGACTCAGCAAAACATGTGTATTACAATGTGATTTCCCACAGAAGTGAAAGTTTTCCCTGCAATAACAAAACCCTGTCTACACATGGTTGGCAATATTAACATATTTTATTTAGAAGCCGTACTTCATCAAATTAACAGTGAAAAAAAGTTAAATTAGACAAGTATTCAGAATAGGGCCCCATAGCAGAAAGCAATATATTGTTTTTAATCTGATCTTGCAGAGAAATTGCTGGTTCATCAACCATTCTATCATCATACTTAATACAGCTTCACTAATCTTTCAACTAACAACTTATCACTTGTTCACAAAATGCACAAATGCAAAGCTGCCTGCTGAAAGACAAGAAAAAAGACAAAGGAAACCTCTGTGTGCTCACCTTGGGAATCTATTAGAGAACTGACACTGGTTGCAGTAGTGGTTTTCCACTCGACTGGCATTCCACCTTACATCATCCTCAGTAGGCAACAGGTAGTCACTTTTAGGCTCTGTCTGCCCACCACACCTGCTGCAAGGAAGACTATTTACCCAATGAAAAAAGCAAGTCTTAAACCAGTCCAAAAGCTCCAACAATAGGAAATCCTCTTCATTCACATGTGCACCTGTAAAATTTATACAACACAACACAAAGTTAGTTCATATGGAAAAGTAATTCAGTTGAACTTGACAGTATCTATGCAAATCAGCATCTCTGGGCCTTTATGATATTTTAAAAGTACATATAAAATATGTGTACTTCTAAAACATAAAAATTATATTAAACAAGCTTCATAATAATAATAATACTTAAGCATACATTAAAAAAAAAATCTAAATTGTCAAGACCGAATAAGGTCAAACTTAAAAACAAAAAACTACACTCCTAAACACTACAGCTAGGACAAGAATAAGAAATCGCTAAAAAAAACAAGTCAGATATACATCGAAGCCTGGTGAAGTTTCTCATGCCTCTCATACTCTTGCAGGGCTTTGGGAGAGTGTTAATTCTTTTTTGCTCCTAAATATTATTTTCTTATTCTTAGCTATTAAACTAGGAATAACAATTGCTTTGATTTCAAAATCTCGAAGAACCAGATGCTGGCAGCAACCTAGACAACCAGGTATAATAGGAACAGAGTTTCTACAAACACAGCTTAATTATTGTAGAATATACGTATATACCATGCAAACAAGTTGAGTTTGTAAGTTGAGTTTTGTTTTAAATTTAGCAAATAAACACCCTTCTCAGCTTATCCAAAGTAGGCACAGGATGTCTTTAGTTTTCTGCTCTAGCTGATTTCACCACACCAAACTCTTCTGGCCCATTTTCCTGTTCACAAAACGTCTTAGAATCTACTCAAATACTGTCACTGTTCTGACACCTGGAAACAGCCCCACCTTCCCTAAAAAAAAAATGTGAAAATCCAGTCTTTCAGGAGAGATCCATTCCTTTAAACTTCTTGGAATCTTAATATGCACATTCTGCTCCAGTGCCCAGAGAGATACTCTTCTTTCTCAGTTACATAAACATTCAAATAAGTTCCCCACCAACCCCACCCTCACTGAAAACATAGGTATTAATACCTGGCTATTTTTATGTACTAGAGCTTTCTTCTTGTCACAGTGAAGACAGGTTTGACTAATGAATATTAACAGACAAAATGAACATATAAAAATGCTGCTTAAAGACAGTTGAAAGCAGTTGCATTTGTGCAAGAGCTCCTTTTTCAGGATGGTGAAGAAAGACTAGGTAAGATGTGCATTTTACTTATTTAAGTTCAGTTTATATCTTGCTCTGAAGCTGTAGTGGTCTTTGACCCTGTAGGGGCCCTTACACTATTAAACACACATCGCCAAGACTGTGAAGTGCATGGGAAGAGATCATCTGTTAATCAAAGCAAAACCACCTGATTTCTAATTACAGTAAAATTTCCATTTTTACTTATGTATGTGAAAACTCTTTGTGCTGGAACACACAGACAAGGGGCTTACTGCTTACAAAATGGATATGCTTGTTTAGTCAAACTTTCTGCTAAAAGCTGAACATTAAGATTTCAAGCACAGGTCATGTTCTCTTTTTCTGGATAACATTCGAACTAGAACCCATCCATGAAAATATGACTACTATGATATGAACATTCTTCTCTTGGTTCATAAAATAAATCCTTCATTGAAACATCACATGGGAACAATGACAAATGTGATTTATTTGAACAGAAAACAGCTGTGACACACAGCTATTTCTGACTGAGCAGTCTATCTTTCTAATGGAATGTGGCAAAAAGTAAAAAACAAATCCATACTTCTGATCAAATGACCATCATCTTCCTAGCACACTCTTTATTAGTCAAAAATGCTTATTACACATTGTAAGACAAGTCCTAAAAACAAGTGTTCTGTAGCATTAAGTAGTTATTCCCACAGGTGGCAATCCCCGCAGCAGTACAGATAAACCAAAGAAGCTGAAAGGGCCAATTACCCACACATCTCATACACAGTCCATTCCCAAATGAATTTTCCATAAAGCTCTTCAAAAAGGCTTTCAAGCTGTCACAATCTAAAACAGTGAAATTCCCCTTTATTTGTATCTAAATTAAGGTCTGGAAGCCATTTTGAATAGATCAGCTTGATGGCTTGGGAAGCACCTGGAAACATTACCCTCCTCCTTCCTTCCCCCTTTTAAACAATGTGCACAGCAGCATTAGAACAGAGTCTAAGAGGTATGCTCATCCTTTTTTTTTGCTTCTTATAGGAATTTAATAGTTGTCATTTATTACTGCTAAGTCATTTCTCCACTGCATGCTGAATGAGTATGCTTTGTACTTGTTTATGTGGTTTCTTACTACCCAGTACAGTTTTATAAGAAAACAAAACTACTAAGAAAATCCACTATGAAAAAGTTCCCTAATGCCAAAGGCACAATTGCATATTAGCACGTGGCTGTATGAGACATCACAAAGTAATTTACAAAAAAACATGAGATTATTTCTGGTTTGCAAACCAACAGCACTCCCGTAAAGTCAGCAGAACTGCTTCAAACAGTCTTCTACCAAAGATTCACAGTGAAAAGGATTTTTTTTGTTTAAAGATTGTCTTGGAATTGTGGGGGGTTTTTTTAATATTTATCACATAGAATAATATTTCACTATATCACTGAAACAAATCTAAAACCATCACCTGAAAATAGAAATATATAATTTTAACTGACAATAACTTCATACATTCAAAAAAAATTTGCATTTATGAAGAAAACAAATTTTAGAGACTGATACCACAAGTATTTAGGCCTACATTTCCCATCTAGCTCCAAGAGGATGGTATGTGAACAACCCTATTCATTTAAGCATTAGCAAGAAAGGTGATTGTATCAGGTGGCATCTTGGAAAGGTCTCATGCAAAATCTCACCAATATCATAAAAAAGAGAAGCAGTATTTAAAAATTTTATTTTGAATTTATAATGTAGTACATACAGGAAAATTGCAAGAATTGACAATTTCAAAATAGTGACTACTCAAACAAACAGCTCCCCTCCTCTTGTTGTACCTATTTCACCTATTTCACTCTAAATCCAAACCCCATTTGTTTCCCCAGTATTGTTTACTACTAATTCAGAAATTAAAAGTCAAAAATTTCTATGTGAAGCAAGATGGATGACAAAAGTAAAATAAAAAATAAGAGAAGGAGAGAGTAGGAAATTAGGAAGAAGGTAATTCCAACTTAGAAACAGCATTTGAAACCTGCAAACATATGACCAAATACACACAGCCAATACATAGTATGTTTGAAAGCATACTTCTAGTTTCATATATGTTATAACTTGGCAGCATTACCTTTGTCCAGTCTTGTAGCTTGTGATAGCTTTTTCTGAGCCTTGTTCTTTAATTCCTGGAGGGGAATTGCAGCTAGTGCTTTCTGCTGAATAGAAGGATTCTCATACATCAATACAAGATCCTCAAATTTTGTTTGAAGTGTTTTCAAGATATTTGCAGCCTGCAAAAGGATTTTCAATTATAAGACAATTTATGAACTTTCACCTTAAGGCAAAAAAACCAAGCTCTCCTATTTTTAGCTTAAGTCAGTCATAATTCTATATTCATACTTACATTATATGTATTTGCAGGCAAAATGCTTATATGTAAAGATATCAACAAAAATCGCAGGCAACACCACCCAAACTGTAAGTCTGACCTTGTCAACTCTGAGCATTCTGAATGGTATCCTCAGTGAAAAGCATATTGACTCAGAGAGAAGAGAAAATTGTTTCCAAGGACACTTCCGACAGCAAAGCTTTTGACTTACTCCAGTCCCCTACTCCATCCCCCCACCTTTCTTTTGGACACATTTTACCTGAAATCCATAAAAAAAACTGTAAACACTTTAATTTCCTGGACACTGCTACACAAGTTCGTAGAACTCTTGTTATTGATGACTGCTGCTTTTCTATTTCTTATTTATGAATGTTGCCTGTATATTTCTACTTCCTTCTCTCACACATCAACTCTGATACAGATTTGAATAGACAGCCCTGTGACCATAAAGTGAACACTCTGTTTCAGTAGAACTAGGCTTGATCAGTCAGTCATCCTAAGTGTCACCTAGTGACAACTACAAGTCGCACCCAATAAGGTACACCCATAGCTAGTAAAATAAACAGCTGAAGTTAATAATAATGGAGTTAGTAGCTGAGTAAGCTACTTACCCCCATTTAAAGGGGAGTAACACAGAAAATGAAATTGGATTTTTAAATTAAGGGCCTAGCATATTTTGGGGGGAAGCCCGCGGCACTGCTAAATTACCTTTTCTCTACTGCTATATCATGCTTCAGTCTTTAGCCTTGTTAACTACCATCTTAATTTAATCAAAAATCCCACACTTTCCTGAGATGCTGGCAGCAAACACAGGTGTGAGAAATCTTCAGAAGATAATTTCTTTCAAAGGAGCACTTAAATTACATGTGATTATTTTGATGCTGGAGAGTACTGCAGGACCAGTCTTTAATTGTCATAACCGCTAAAACAGAATAGAGCTGGTTTTACTCCTCCTGGAGGCCATAAGCTATAGGTAACAGGTTTAACATCATAAACTCAATTGTGTCCAGATTCACCTTAATGCAATTTGAAAGAACAGAAATAAGGGATGTTAGAGACTGCCAAAGGCTTATAGACCTTCATGTTCTGTCAGCTTGCTGAGATATTGCACAGTAGGAAGTCTCCCAGAAAAACTACTCCCACTGGCAAACACCCTAAGCGTTACAGTAGTGCTTAGCTGGTTTCATGGAAGCCACCATGTAACAATGAAGTCTTATGCAAAAATCTTAGAAGGGTGGTGAATCTCACTGCAGTTCAAAGTTTGGATACGACTTTCCTCCTGTAGTCGCTATGCCATCTAGGAAAGGATCAGAATCCATCCAACAGAATTAATGACTAGCCAGAGCTTTCCTTTCCCCAAGTCTCAAGAACGTTTTACGACGAGAAGCGCAGAAGAGATACATGAGGTAAAATAATGATAGGTTAGGTCCCTAGAACTGTGCCATTTAGGAATATTCCTGTGTTGTCTCAATTTTCCCTGTGCTTACCAGGACTCCCATGAATGACAAATGTAACACATAGGCAAGAAAAAAATGCTTGCAATACAGAAACCGCTCTAAATCTCTCTGACATCTGTCAGCAGAGCACACAACAGTAATACAACTACAACTCGGCATCATACTCACTAAAAAACAAAACCCCCACTGCTGTGCAAGCAAAACGGCCAAGTCACAGCCAGAAGGTATTTTATGGACTTCCTTCCCATCAACCCAGACTATACAGATCAAATTCAATGGTTCAGAGAGCTATCAGTATAGTTCCCTGAAGAGATCAGCTGAAATATAGCATTCTAATAAGTGCCAACATTGCATTACCAATGTCTCTAAATTGTAGTAAGTTTGGTCTCACCATCCATACTGAATCTCAAGAAGCATGGAAAATTAATAGTTGCAAAGAAATGGATCCACTATGATGGCTAGTGTATGTCGGGGCAGAATGACTATAAATGAAAGGATTAACATCAGAATACATTGTGTCAACTTGAAATCTGCAACATTTTTCTCATTGCAAGATCAACTTTTAAAGGTTCCAGTACTAAGCAACGCAGCAGCAAGTCACTCTAGAGGTTTTATAATCACTTCCAAACACCACTGCAGAACTGGCTGAAACAGTAAAAATCAAGAAGCAGGCAAAAAATCAACTCAGACATCCCCAACCAAATTCAAATAAACCTAGTTAATATATTTCAGAGGCAACTACTGCCAGGCTAGCATAATTAAACAGCTCAATATTCAAGTGTCTAGAACAGTTCCCTTCCCAAAGGATATTTTGGGTGATGATGGGTCACTGAGAGCTCTCTATCCCCAAAAGCCATCACTTCAAACCATGCTGTGCCATTTCTTGTCCACTGATCTTGGGTAGGTATTGGGAATAAACAGTATGTCATAGTTCAGTATCCAACGATATCCTGATAACTTAGAAAGTGGCAAACAGTGTTTAAGGATGTACGAGAAGCAAGCTTTTCTTTGAAAGGATTCAACTTACACCAACTTTAAGACCAAAGTGACACTGATTCTAGGGAGAAAAACTCTTTGGAAAATTGAACCAAAGCATCCTTAAAAGTTTCTATCTAAAAGCATAACTTAATTTTTCAAAGCTGTATGAGATGTTGCATCTTCTTCCATTGGGCCAGTTAACACCAGATGAAAGGATACTGCCTCTGTCTTGATCAGGAATGTCATCTCAACCTCCTGGACAAGGGAAACTCAGCATAGATAACTACGGATTTGTCCTTGCCTGGCTAAATTCCTGTCTTCAACAACAGGCACATGTGAAAGAAGAAAGGCCTCCTCACAGGCTACACATAGAAGTCATAATGCATGAACCAAGATGCCAACAACTAAAAACAGTACAATCACTTTCCTGTTCTTTCTCTGGCTCTCAAATACCAAATATAAGCCTAGTCTTAGCTTCCCACCCCTCAACTTGTTCCCAACCTTGCTGTTCCCTCCCAATACAAATCAGCTTTTTTTCATGACACCCTGATTAAAAAAACATTCATGGAGATCTTCAACAAAATCTTTTGCCAATATTCTATTTATGGTACATTTCATGCTTAAGTTGCATGGAGACTGAAGAAAACACTCAAAAAACTTCAGAAACCATTGGAAAAAAAACCCCCTAGTCCAACTTCCTACTCAAAACAGTATTAGCTATGAGGTCAGGCCAAGTTCCTCTAAGCTTTACTCAGACAGAGCTTACAAATGTGCTCATTTGGAGACTACTCCGCTTCTCTGAGCAACCTGTCCCAACAATCAACTTTTCTTCAATCTTTATATTCAAGACTAACTAACCTATGAAGTTTCCAGGTTATAATTACCATTTCAAGAGATTGCACAAGTGACGTTTCTGGTCGCTGACGGGCAGGGGCAAGAACAGAGTCGGGAGGTCTTGAAGGCCGTTGTGCAGCTGTCTGAGTGCTGCTGACAGTTTCAGCGGATCCTGATTTGGGGATTTGGTTTGACTCATTCAGTCTGCTGCTTCTCTCTCCAGCAATTAAGTCTCTGATTTTACGTAGTTGCTCAATCGAAGCTTCCTTAGGGAAAACCAGATGAGTTTCTCCCTGAAATTTAGACAAATGAATTCAGCAGTTAATGCAGGTCTAAGCTAGTCAATGGTTTTTAAGTTAGCATGCTAAGACTTGGCAGGATTCAGCTTTCAGATTAGGTCCCTTCACAGCAGAAGCTTGAGGTCCCTCACAGCTTCAGAAGCCATTAGATTAAGAATTTATAGTCAATCTAGAGAAAAAGGACCCACAACAACATGCTTTTATTAGTAACTCATTCTGCAGAGCCACACATGGACTATACAGTTATGGTTTCGCAGAGAAAGCGGTAACAACAGAAATGAACAACAAATGCCCAGTTCTCACAGGACTGCAGTGAAATGCTTGGCAACACAGTAGGACAGCCAATCCTGGGAGAAGGAGACCTTAGAATGGCATCTGCTGGGAATTCTCTTCCATACTAATATTTGTTAGGTTTAAGTTTTCAGATAGGAAATATTATTTTTATTGAGACCCGTACCCAGGTTGACTTCTGGCCTCCTATTTTTGATTGTAACATGATTATTGGCAGCATAACAAAAAATCAGTAACTGTTACAGAAGCAAGTATCAGCATACTTAACATAAAAAAACAGGTTGCTAAAAACATGAACATCCTGAAGCATTTATACTTCTAACAGTTTCAGTTTCTACCACTGAAACACTTCTATTTATTAAGGTAATTTGTTTATCCACAGCTACCTTAGGTCACCTATCATTGCAGATGTAGTGCTTCACATTAACACTTAAAATCACCGCAAAACTAAATGGAATGTATTAATCTCCCAGAAGAGTGAGGAAATACATTTCTCATTTTTTAATTGAAAAAGTTTGCTTACCAAGCAAAGACAAAAGAAGGAACAATTTTAGGTAACCAGCTGAAGAGAAATTGGTGAGCCCCAGCCTTGACTGACACAATAACCACAAGACTGAGCCAACACATTCAGAGATCTACTTGAGTGCTTCACTAGCTACACCAACCACCTCCTGGCTAAAATACATCATTAGAAGTCTCCTGAGCACCAGCATGAGACTGTTTCTCCCTCTGCAGTCACCATTTCTTGCAGCACACCTTTTTTTTCAATTAGAACAATTACACTAATTAACCCAAAGAGAAGGCAGAGAGAGGTCTCATGATAGCTTAGCCTAAATAACATAATATATGTACCCATAGAGAAGTCTGGCATCAAATAGACAAAGCAAAGCAAGAGCTTTGCACCATTAAACAAGAGCTGAGTTTTCACTCCAGGTCTCCAATAATTACAAAGGCTGCTTCTAGTTTAACAATCTTGCAGTTTAAGTTCCACCAAGACAGGGACCACATCAGGACACAAAGCAATGTTCGAAATACATCTTTGTGACTGTAACAGAATAAAGATTCACTCCAAACTACTTCAGGATATAGTTTTCTAACTTTCTAAAACGAACTTTTAAAGACTCAACCCTCCTAATACTTGAAGAGTCTACTGCCCTTTACTGCTGTCATGACAACACCAGTACTTGTGCAGCTGCACTACGAACTGGATGAAAAAATCTCTGGTTTTGTTTTAGAGGACTGATTTTTAATCAAATCAGCTTCCCTTATCTAACCCACTATGGGGCCACAGAAGGCATAGTGACAGCAGGAACAAGGAGCAGAAGTGCAGGGCTTTCTTTTTCTATCTTCCAAATGACAGTTTCTACACACATTTACAATGTCTGATGGAGTAGTCTGATGTCCACCTAAAAGCGGGTTGCTACTAAGAGAGGGGGTTTTTAACCCTGCTTCCCACCATTTCCTTTATGGAATGTATCCAGCCATTCAGCAAACCAGCAGTGCACCCGAGTAGCAGAAAACCAATCTTGTCACGGATTAGCTTAGCCCTAGCTCCACCAGATTTCTAAAGCAGCCTTATCTAAATTCGCTCTTGGTTATCTGTGGATATTTGCAAACAAGGACCGAAAAAAATAGCAATTGGCTTAAAATCTACTACCTTGCAACTGGGGAAGCAGAAAAAAATGATCCATCAATTTTAGCGTGTAAACTGATGAAGACACCAGAAATTACTAAATTACACTCACCTCCTGAAACCCCATTTCAAATAAACATTCAACTGCTCCTCTGACGGGCAACAGCCTTGTGGAAAATGCTGGATTTCCAATACGAATTAATCTATATTTTTCTTCATATGGATTCCTGAAGAAATGAAAGTCATAATTATGTTTGCAGATTAAATAAACACTTAAAAGTTAGGTAACTGCACTAATTAGCATTAGTTACTCATAAGGGATTTTTAAAAAGTTTTGTTTCCTTCACAGCATGTAGGCAGAATGTGAAACCTACCTAAAACTTCTACTTAATTCTTGTTCTTTTGCACTTAACTCAAAGAGTTACAAACTGCTGCTAAATTTTCGTTCGCAACTTCAATTCATAAACACATGTTTTGTAGTGCTACCCAGCAGGGCTTAGTCTGCAGTGACACTCAGAGACAACCTCACATCCTCCTCTACCTGGTAGCATTCTAATTGAACTTCTCAACTTGATGCTGGATGGCTTTAGTCCCACCATGGAAGTTGTGCTAAAGTGCCTGATACATGGGTGAAACAACTGTGGCTTCCGCTTTTCGAAGAGCTGCCTCTCACTTCCTATTTCCTCTTTCAACTTTTAAAAACCTCCTTCTCTCGCTTCTTCCTTTAAAAGGACTCAGCCCAGGATGCACCATTCTCTGTCACACAGCAGCTTTTACAAGTATATATAGACAGGGAGGGGCAGCTCTTACACCTCGAGATGCTGGAAGAAGACATCAAGGTCAATCACACATATTAGTGTGTATGTGCACCCTACAGGGCCACCTGCAGAAACTCAACTATAATTAACTCTTGGTACCAATCTTGCTAAGTCAGAAAGGAAGGGCAAGAGAAAAATCCAGAAAAAAAAAAAAGATCAAGTCAAAACGAAGTTAAAATCAAGTAAAAACGAAGTTAAAATCAGCATTACTTGTTATTACCTGCTTTTAGGTGAATAAATGCTTGCAAAATCAGGGACAACGCACGATTTTGCGTTTAACACAAAAAAAACGCCCCCCAAGCTTTCAAAACAAACTAACCAGCAATAAACAAAGAAATAAAAATCCAGGACACTACATCTCTAGTTAAGTAGTCTTATTTTTAAAACAACGAAAAAAAAGACGCGAGAAGCTTCTGAACTTCGACATTACACAACAGAACCAAAGCCAGCGCTCGGCGCCGGGGAGCGGCCGCGGGAACCCTGCGGTACTGCCCGCGGAACGAAGGCGGCGACCCGACTCACCGGAGGATGTTGTCGGCGTACGTGAGGAGCAGGCGCGACGCCTCCAGGAAGATCTCGCGGCCGTTCTGGCACAGCTCGCTCACGGCGGCGGAGCCCGGCGCGGACGACAGACCCAGCGCGGCCGCCATCGCTCCCCCCGCCCAGCGGCACCGCCCGCCCCCGCCACTGCGCCACACGCATGCGCGATGGGAGCGGCGAGGTCACCGCCCTCCGCCGGGCAGCACCGCCCGCCCCAGCACGCATGCGCGGGGGGAGCGGTGAGGTCACTGCGCGCAGAGCCCGCGCCCACAGCCCGTGCATGAAGTGGGGGGCCTTAAAGGGCCAGAGGGGGGTTAATACATTCTCGACCCCCCAGTGCAGCGGGACCTCCCGGTCACACCATGTTGCCCCAAACTAGGTTCTTTCCCCCGGTGTGCAAGAGGCCAATCGACACACAGAGTGGAGGTATTTGATTTATTTACAGTTCTGCTCAGAAAGGGGTGCTGCGTGGCAAATCACGACGACTACCAAAACTTTTCGCTATTTATACATGTTAGTGAACAAAGGCATTAATGTTCATTGGCGGTAAGTTACCTAGTTCTCTTATTAATTAGGCTTCCATTGGTTAATTGAGTTTCTTCCTTATCTAAGGGGTTCTGCTAAATGTCCTCGTGGCCGGTAAATTCTGCATTCTTTGTGTCCACTACCAGTGGTACATCCTTCTTCCCATGCTTTGTTAACCTCGCCCTAGGTCTGAGATCATTGAAGCATGTCGAGCCCTAAACCTTAACAAAGCAATTCTTGCAACAAGAAATTTGTCTTTCTAACACCTGGACATCATTTAGAGCTTGATTAAATCTCCTTTCTTGTTGATTCGGCTTGAAAGTAGACAAAGATCAAACATCAAAAAAAATCCTGTCCTAAGAAAATTTTTACATATTCCACATTTTGCAACATCGGGAGCCCCTTGGCAGGCAGTAACGTCCTTGAGGATATAAATCCCCTTCTGTACTGCCCTGGTTTGGCAGTGCTCTCTGATGGTGCCAAACCTTCAGCCTCACCTGGGCTACCTGGGTGGAATACCACTGAAGCAACTCGCCCCCTGCCCGACACCTCGCCCAGCACTACCCAAAGTCTGTTCCAGCAAAGCTAAAAAGCCCTGGTCTGCTGCTTCTAGACATTTGTGCTATCAGTGAAAGAACTGTGGTGAAGAACCTTGGACACAAAGACTGGTGAGGCTTTGCTTCCTTAGGAATGCAGATTTAAAGAGTTCCAAGCAAAAGAGGTCTTTAAAATTCAGCCTGATTTTGTAGCTGACATTACATTCTAGCTCTGCTGTCTGCTTCTGACAGGTCACTGCTCAGCTTCTGTGATTTTTTAAAGAAAGTGGTACATGTCCCTCACAAAAGCTGGGATTTAACACTGGGCAATTCACTTTTGCTGAGATTGCACTTATTGTTCCTACTAGTATAGTTGAAAAAAGTTACTAACACAGCCGTCAGAATCATGAAACTGGTACCAAAGTAATAAAATTTTAATTTAAGATGATGTTCCTTGGCTGCTGCTTCAGCTTTTAACTTTCTTTCCATGTCTTTCACATAGTTATGTGGCTCTGAATGTTGGCTGCACTCTGAAATTTAATGATTAACTAAATTGCTATATGTGTAACATAATTATATAATGCATATAAGTATACCATTTGTAAATAATGCTTTGGAAATACTCATAGGAAAGCTGTATGAAAATTGAGAAGACCAAGTGCCACCTTCCAACAAATTACTAACACACAAATGTCCAAGGAGTGTTATTTCTAAAGGGAAATTAAATACAGATGCTTCATTTAAAAATAGTGAGTTTTTTCTATATTAAATACTGCATTTCCCTCCTTTTTGACATCTAGGGTTGGTTTTTTTCCCCTTTTTTACTGCAGTAGGTGCTTCATTAATGTCCTATAGTTTGTATTTAGAAGGACCTGTGATTGCAGCTAATAAGCATCATTGTATTGTGCATGAGTAAACAGATTTCAATTTTCTTACTGCCCTACACTATAAAAGGTACCACCTAACAAGTAAACTCCCCATTTATGTAATTAATTCATGTCTCTGCTGATGAGACTTTGACCCACATTTTATGGTCTGCCATGGTATCTTCTCAGTCTTTGTGTATTTTGAGATACCACTGTCCTAATTAAAAATTTAGTTGTTCGTACACGTCATTTCAGGCATAGCTTGGTCTCAGTTCAGATAATCCATTCTTGCAGCTGGAAGCAGCAACTACAAATAGTTTACTTGTGTGCATTGGTGCTGTTGGCATATTTGTATATGTATTTTCAAGACACCCCTGTAAAGCCAGTGATCATTTAGTCTTTGTCTTCTCTACCAGCATTTCAGCATCCGCGAGGAGGATCACTTTCAAGAAATCATTTAGACTGGAAAAGATCTTTACTATCACTGAAGTCCAGTGCTGTCAAGTCCACCACTAAACCATGTCCCCAAATGTCATGTCTACATATCTTTTAAACACCCCCAGGGATGGTGACTCCACCACTTCCCTCGGCAGCCTGGTCAAATGCTTGACAACTGCTTCCAGTGAAGAAAACGTTCCTAATATCCAATCTAAACCTCCCCTGGCACAACTTGAGGCCATTTCCTCTGGTTCTATCACTTGTTACCTGGGAGACGAAACAGACCCCCACCTGTCTACAACCTCTATTCAAACAGCTGTAGACCGGAGACCGTGTGTTTGGTTGGGGGGTGGGGGTGTTCCTTACTCTTCCTTTGCGTGTTTAATCACGTGGTTTGGGAAAGAAAGGATAACCTCGCCTTTCCCAGCTCTCTGGGTTATTTACACCGCCTCGCTCCCCACCCGCCTACACCGCGAGGCGGGGCCAGGCGAGAGGAAGCACCGCTGGGCCGCGCGTACCCACACACCTCCCGCGTACCTCACCCCCACTCCCCCCGGCCTGCCGCGTGGTGCGGCCCCGCGCTGCCGGAAGGGGAGCGGGAGGCAGAGCGAACCATCGCGGAGCGGGGGGGGAGCGCGGGCGGCGGAGGTACCGCTGCAGCGCTGGGGCGGAGGGAGGCGGGGGCCGCGGGGGAAGTCGCTCCCAGCCGAGTGGGGCGGGGCGGCAATGGCGGCGGAGGACAGTCCGTTTGGGCCAGGGTTTGACTGCTGATGTAGACATTAAAAGTAGTCACTGCCCTTTAAACAGCCGGGGCCGTCCGGTAATGCTTGTTTCCGGGGGGAAGTTGCCCCGCGCCTGGTTTTCCCGCAGAGCAGGTATCGGGCATTGCTTGGGTTAAACAGGACGGCTTGGCACCTGGCACCGGGTGACGGCGTGGGGATGTGGGATCCGCTGCTTTACAGAGCTCTGCAGTCTTAGGTGTATGCAGGCACACGCATATATATACACACACGCATATACATTATTATACATTTATATGTATAATTATAAATAATACATTATGCATCACGTTGTATATGCTATACTATATATAACATATTTAGGATATATGGATATACATGTTATACATTATGTAATATATATACATATCCTTGCAGAATATACCATCTAAGGATTCTTTCTGCTGTGCCTTTTGTAACCGGACATGCCTTTCTTGTATTGGCCTTTTTAGCCACCAACACGCTTGCAAGAAACGTGGGTAGAGCCCTTCCCAAATCTTCGTTCGCGAAGCCTAGCCATGACTGACTGATATATACATATAATACTGCAGAGCTGTATTATATATATTATATATAGTACATATTTATATGTACTATATGTTGTATATGTTATGTATATAATGTATCATATATTATATTTAGTAATATATATGGTATGAATATATTATATACATATATTTATATATGCTGCCTCTCTTTATAAAGGCCAGGCTAACTGGCTTAGCTAAAATGGAAGATTTGGGTCAGGATTTAAACCAGGCGTCCTTAAAAAAATAATTTTGTTTCATTATAAATATAATTATTTTTTTTAAAATAGTTACATAAAATATATATAAAATTTAATCTATAATTATTTATTAATTTTATTCCCCATCCCTGGAAGTGTACAAGGCAAGGCTGGATGAGGCTTTGAGCAACGTGTTCTAGTGAGAGGTGTCCCTGCAGCAGGGTTGGAACCAGATGATCTTTAAGTCCTTTCCAACCCAGGCCATTCTATGATTCTATGATATTCTTTATTATCGCTACTGCGTACTTGTGTTGCCACAGCTCGGGATGTTTTAAGAGGAGTGCGTTAGCCCAGCAGCTCTGTGTGGTCCCCATACAGCTCCCTATATTTTACCAAAGAGCTGGGGTAGCCAAGTTGCCCTTTTTATGAGTCAAAAAGCAGGTGACCAGTTGCAGCCTGTATCATAGGTGTTGACAGAGCTGTACTGCAGCCGCTGCCCTGTTCCAGCATGCCAGATGTGTGCAATTGGACCAGCTCCGGACCTGGTAGTTGCCAAGGCAAGGGAGAAAGACTGTGGTGCAGTATGGCAGCATCACTGCTAGGAGTGGTCCTCTTGTCCCGCCTGAGGTATTCGTACTCAGCAGTGGCCTTCTGCCATCGCTTGACATCCCTCTTGATATGTGGGGTCTGCCGGTGGGAGGTGGTGGTGTAGCACATCTTGCTCAAACCACTTCAGGTGCTGTCCCCTGACAGTGTAAAATACCCAAGACTGATAAGGGGATAGATGGAGGTAGAAAGATGAGGACTCTTGTCCAAGCTATGTAATTACATTGGTGGCAGAACCAGGAAGAATTTATTGACTTCTGAGTTTTCGAGACCGTTCTACCTGACATGAAGGTTGAGATAACAACATCTTTAACTTGGTAATGCTAGGATATACACTTTCAGGTGAACACACACTTTGGCCCTTAGAAGAATGAAGCTGTTAATGTTCATTGTCCATACCTCCAGCCATCTGGTGGTTAAAGCCCTGGGGAGAGTTTTGCAGCGAAACCAGAGAGCGTGTTGTGGGCCACAGTAGTGCAAACTCATATTCATTAGCAGCTTAAGGTAGATGAGGCCACTAGAGGCATTCCCAAAGTGACTGTGTTTCTGTGCCTTGTCTACGATAACTCGTACTATTCCTGATTACAGACACACAAACTACATCTCTTTCTACAGGTTTGAAAATAGGCTTTCTTGTAAAAAGCAGGTTATTAATTTAATGTACTTAGAATGTTTTCCACACTGG